TAACCTGTTTTACAATTTACCAGTAAGTTAAAGTATACCTAAGCCTAAACTACCGTTACGTGTACTAAGCCTATTTTAACGTTGTAGTAAAATTTACACCACTAAACTCTAAGTTAAAACGTTGACCATCTTACTTTTATTTACCAATCTTACTATATCTAGTTATTCTTATGTTATTTAACCCAAATTACTACAAATTATAATATTAATATTAAATAATTTTCAAAATCTATAAGAGCTTAACTTTTTAACGTCTTCTCTCTTCCGTAGCGCCCTCTCCATACACTGTACTATGATTGCATATGTATTTTACATAGGAAATAGCTGCAACATACCCTCCCCAAAAGCTGTCAATTTTTGGTGACATCATAGTATCTGCATAAGCCAAACAATGTTAAAATATTTTTCTACTACATACCGTTCTTCTGCAACTATATATCGGCTATGATTTTCACGTGACTTGCGGACTTGCATATACAAAGTCCTTTTAATACATATTATTCAACTCTGTATAAATATATGCTCACTGTGTTAAGCAAAATACAACTAAAATACTGTTACGACAGCGCAAGTCACGTGACGCTGGTGACACGTAATGAGTATCTCGAAGGTTTGTGAATGCTCGAGTGTTTGCTAGATATGCTGTATTCTAATATATAAGCCCGACAATCAATTGGAACGAGATAGCAGACAGAGAGATTGAAGATATAGACGGACAATTGAGTCAAGCGTGGTAGTAAGTAAACTGCACGAATTGTTCGTTGAGAATTATAGCGTGTGTTTAAGTTAAACTGACTGTGGAAATTAAATGTACTGCAAAGTTGTATTGAGAAAGAATAAACTTGAAAGGACTTGTATCGCTGAAGTTCTTCAGAAAGATTTTTTACGAGTAATTAACAAACGATCAGAGACGTAACATTACCATATATGTAATCCACCACTATATGAAGACTAGTCAGATTTTTTCGATTTGCCAGTGACAAAATAGTGTTTGTTTGCTGAATAATTAAGAAAAATAAATTTGTAGCATCAGTGCTACATATTCTTAAAATCACATATAAAAACACCATATATATATATACAATTACCAAGTTGTTGAAAAGTATTGTTGTAACGGTTTTTATTGTTGATAACATTTTTCGGGATTATTGGGTAAAAATAAAACAAATCCTATTCCACTTGAAGATTGTAAAAGCATTATATTTCTTGTTTTTAAGTTATACAAATTAATTTCAGAAATTCAGAATAACAAGATCACAGCCTACACCAATACCATGTATTTCCTAACTTCTCTCGTGTCTATTCCTTTATTGAAACCCGATCTCAATATCCACAAAAGTGAAATAACTGATAACACACAACTGATTAAGAAACTCAATAATTAGACAATAACGGAACTTCACAAATCAATAATCTACTTTACACTAACTCAAGAAGGTTCTATGTACTAGCCCTGGAGAATCCGCAAAGGTGAAACATCGGTTAAAATAAAAGTTTTTTTATAAATACCTGGAGTGTAAATGTCGTTTCTCTTTAACTTTATTATCGAACCCCATCAATATACACTACAACATTTGAAAGACAAGGTCCTAGCCATAAAACCACGACCTTGAATAGACGAAATACTACCTTTGATCCAATGACCAGGTGGCTAAGGCGCTCGACTCGCAATCTGAGGGTCGCGGGTACGAATCCCCCCTCCCACCAAAAATGCTCGTCCTTTCAGCCGTTGGGACGTTACAATGTGACGGTCAGTCCCACTATTTGTTGGTAAAAGAGTAGCCCAAGAGTTAATGGTGGATGATGATGACTAGCTGCCTTCCCTCTAGTTTTACACTGCTAAATTAGGGATGGTTAGCGCAGATAGCCCTCGTGTAGCTTTGTGCAAAATTAAAAACAAACAAAAACAAACTTTTGATCAAACAATATAGAGTGTAAATCAAAAATCATAGCCTTCAACATTTCTCATTCTCTGGTTTTTGAAGTCCATTGAACAACAATAAAACATGGTACATTAAATTTAAATCTTCATAATTAACAATAAGATAACTTTAACAGTTATCAACATTAATCATCCCAAGTATAGCTTTTGCAATAATGAAAAATATCATTAATTAATTATTTCAAGCAAAGTACAAACAAAATTTCATTGTCTTTCCTTGCTTAGCTACTGTTTCTGAATTGTCCCTGAATCAAATAGTTCTGGTGATCTTTTTACTGTGTTTTATTGCACAAAGATGAAATGATATTTTGTCATTTATCATGACTTGTCATCATAACTCTAGGGGACTTCTCTTTGAGTAAATGGTCAAGAGGATTCAGTAATGGATCCAAACCTCGTTATACTCTGTAAATGATCTCGACACAAACCTCGGGCTCTTCAATAGGTTGAAATACATCTTACATAGTCTTCTGTAAAGCTAATCAGTTCTCCTGCTGACATAACTCCAAAGACAATCACAGTTGATGATCTTTGTTTTGGATCATATTCTATCCTGCACTCAGCTCAACTGAGTGAATTGTTAACGTCTTATTTTCCTTTCCTGTTCTTTACCTGTTACATATTGAGAATTTGAAATAATCCGAAGCCGAGTTAAATGATTTAAATTATAATAGTTAAATTGTACCCTGATTTTAGTGTCTAGAAATATGCCAATATTTTATTTAATTTATGCTATTTGCCAACAAGATTGATTCACACCGTTTTTGTTTTTGACACAAATACGTTTTAATATATATATACAACAGTATAATTTACAACAGCAACTATTACGATTAATTACTACAAACAAAGTTTCATAGACAAAGATTTCACTAACTTACAAATAACATAAAATCTTCTTCCTAGTTCAGAGTCTCCTTGATATCCAACGAGTTAACTTGAAGTCAAAGTACGTACAATTGCCGAGAAGCTAGCTAGCTTTGTCAGACACTGAATTGATGGACCGTTGAAGTAAGATAATATTTTCATAAAACCACTAATTCCCGATGAGAATCCAGTAATATTTTTGGAAATATACTAACGCCCGATGAGAATTCACTGATGTTCGAAATTTATAACTGTTCCTGGTCAAATGTCGTATATTTTCCGGTTGATAAGGGTTAGCAAAATCACGGTTTATAGCGTACACGGTTATAATAGATTCCTAGCAGACTAATATATGCTCTCTTCTTTGGCCTTGGTCTTTTTATATGTGTGGGAAATGTTCTTTCTCGAAAGTTCGGACAACAATACTGAACTATGTTTAACCGGTTACGGAAGTGGATATATTGTCGATTTTTGCGTTCACAAATATTCTACAACCTTGGAAAATTGGCGGGAGTTTCGCCATACGTAACTAACACTGTAAGCAAGACACGTTTTGACATATAAACTCAATCCCAACAAACGTTGTCATTGAAATAAATATATAACAAATTCGTTACACGCAACACATATTTGACACTATAAGTTACGCATATTTTTAAATACAAATTTAATCTAAACAACGATAATCTACAGAACGATAAATTCCTTACATCAACGGGTGCTCCCGGGCGATATATCGGTATCGTCAGCAAAGATAGTTTAGCCTTTGAAAAAATGTTTTTGTACACGTTTAGTAATGTACGCGTGGTGGAGCAATGTGAAGTTGGGGTTATATAAAAAAAATTATTAAGCTATTCAAATATAAATCTTAAAATATAAGTGATACATAGTTAAGTAAAATATAAATACGATTTAAATGTCTATCAAACTATGCCCCCCAGTGACACAGCGGTATGTCTGTGAACTTACAACGCTAGAAACCGGGTTTCTATACCCGTGGTGGGCAGAGCACAGATAGCCCATTGTGTAGCTTTGTGCATAACTACAAACAAACAAACTAATATGTATCAAGTCGAGAAATAATTCTAAGTGAGAGCAAAACTGCAACGATGCTAAAAACAGTTTGATGCACTTCTTAAAGAATATTGCATGCCAGTTTTAAAATAACCATTGAGAGATTGTTGTTTAAAATTAGCTCTTTCTATTGTTTGTAAAAAATGTACGTCAAATAAATATGTGTGGCTTGTAACCTCAGGTTTAGCTATAGAAGGTGGGCATGGCTACTGTCAGGGGATGAGGATATATATATATATATGTTTCTGAATTGACCTAAATGAACTTGAAATGTGGACAGGTAAATATGGCTTTACGAATAGAATTAATTCTAGATTGTTACATGTAATAGAGACAAAATATTAAAATCTGTGTAACGCTCGTGCATCACATGACAACAAAACTGACGTTTAAGTATTTCTGAAAGGTTCCTTTTTAAATAAAGGAATTAAACTCAGATAATATAAAACTGAATTATAACGTACACGATAATTCTAATTTCATTAAAATATTGTTTGTTTGTAATTAAGCACAAAAAACACAATGTGCTCTTCCCACCAAGAGCATCGAAACCCTGTTTTTAGCGTTGTAAGGCCGCAGATATACCGCTGTGCCACTCTTACCACTCATGTTATTCATAGGAAGGAACTATGTAAATCTTACCACTCCTGTTATTCATAGGAAGGAACTATGTAAATCTTACCACTCCTGTTATTCATAGGAAGGAACTATGTAAATCTTACCACTCCTGTTATTCATAGGAAGGAACTATGTAAATCTTACCACTCCTGTTATTCATAGGAAGGAACTATTAGTTTAGCTCAGAAAATTGATATGATACCACTAAATATTAAAGAATCTATAAAAATGATTAAATGTATTTATAATGATTTTGAATAAAGATGAAAGATTGGAGAGTCAGAAATATTACAGATGGCGCGACCTTCTCTAGTTTCTGTTGCTTGTAAGTGATGTGATTCACACGACCAATTTATAAGCTACGGAGTCTTTAAAGTAGCACTTTTAATTGTCACTTTACATAATAGAATCTAGAGTAAGCACTTCCGAAGCAGTTCATTTTAATTACACTCTAAAAATTCTTTAGTAAATTCAGTTTAATTTTATATTTTTCTTCCAGTGTATGACTATCAGGTTCAGGTGACTTTGGCTAAACCAGAAGATAGCTCTACTCAGCGAGGAAAACTTTACGTCACAATAGAAGGTGAAGATGACGATCTCTCAATTCGACTAAGTGAAAGGTTAGTTTATTTAAGAAAAGTTCTAAAGAAACTTTCATGTACTATAATACTATGAGTTTCAAAAGAGTTAAAAGATCTTACTTAATAAAATATGTATTATATAAACATCAAACTTTAGAAGTTAACATTTATGTCGGACACCAAACTAGTTTGTTTTTCTGATTTATCAGCAGAACATAATAATATAAATATAACATAAAATTTCAATTTTATAAAGTCCAGCTGGGTTAGATATATACGTAACCTCGCTAGCTTTAGTAATATAAAAAGTTTTAATGCTACAAAAAGTATTGCAACAAGAAAGTCAAAACTACAAAAACTGACTTATTTAAATTATTTTTTGAAATTATCCCTACTTTAGTAAATCACTGTAATTATGATAGTCTGAGCCAAAGTAGAGATAATATTTTTAAGTTTTAAGTCACTCACTTTTTGTAATTTTGACTTTCTTCTTTCAATACTTTTTGTTGTTTTGACTTTTTGTAGTTTTGACTTTCTTCTTTCAATACTTTTTGTTGTTTTGACTCTCTTCCCTACAATACTTTTTGTTGTTTTGACTTTCTTCTTTCAATACTTTTTGTAGTTTTGACTTTCTTCTTTCAATACTTTTTGTAGTTTTGACTTTCTTCTTTCAATACTTTTTGAAGTTTTGACTTTCTTCTTCCAACACTTTTTGTACCATTAATCTTTTTATATTATTATAGCTATTTAGGTTAGGTATATAACAATCCAAACTTGTCTTTATGAAATAAAATACAAATTTTCTGATTTATTTCCTCTTTTTAGCTATATTTTTGTGCGCCAGCAATACCAAGCGTATACTCGATTCGATTTTATTACTCATCAGGATCTCTACCAATTTTTGATTTCAAATCTAATTATATGCCCAAAGTAGCAAATCGTCCGTTTTTTATATATATGCTAGTATCCTTTTCGGCACAAAAAAAGGAATCATTGAGACCCCAGACGGAAGAGTTCTATGAAACAATTAGAACGGTAAGGTTCAGTAAGGATCGTTATATTTTCCGTGTGCTTGTCTGGAAACTTAATAAGTTAGGTGAAAATTCGTTGAAATAGTGAAAATCTGATTCATTCTATAAACACATATATAACAATTTAGGCGGCTTTATAAGTACAAGTAGTAAAAAAAGCACGTCAAAAATGACGGGAAACCATTGTTGAATGTATAACTAGAATTATAGAATTTAACTAAAACGAATTTGTCTATACCTCTAAAATGCACCTACTCTCCACTTATTTTATCAGTCTCAAAGTAATTCTTTAATCACCACATTTTTAGTAAAACCTACGCAGAAAAATGAAATGTTACCGTGAACAAAAGTACGTGTACACTCAGAGATTTAAATAGCACTCTTAGCCTTTTCACTGTGTTCTGGTCAGGAAGTAGAAAACATAGTGTGGACATTCCGACACAAATTTTCAACTCTTTCGACTGTACAAAGGATAAAAGATATTTGGTAGTAATAAACGTTTATTTTTCTTTATGTTTTAAGTCCAAGTAGGTAATGCATGTTTCCTACTATCCCAGAAATATTTATTAATTAACATTTATTCAGCACTTAAAACTTTTTATACACTGACTCTATAACGTTAGTAATAGTAGGCCTATTTGTAGGCTAATTTAAGCATTATGCCTAGTACATAAGCATACTGTAAAGCTTAGCTGAAACATTATTTGGTAAATTATATTTGCTTTTGGCTACACCTCAGTCATAAAACAAAGTTATCAAAAAAAAAAAGATAAAAAACAAATCTTTCTGACAAATCAACATGAATATTGAGCAGTCAACATTAACACCATAGTTGGCCTAAGAACAATTAGGTAATATTTTTGTTGCTAAACGACGATGTATATTATTGAGCATTACCAGAAAAAGAGCGTGAAAGCGTTCTCAACAGAGTGACAAAGAGAATAAGCCTTTTATAGTTAGTGATAAGTTTAAGTTTTACTCATTCAATACTGCAAAATAGTCATTGTTAATATTCAGACATCTTAAAGGTGGTTTTAAGCGGACGATTTTTATGGACGCCATTTTGTTTCATCACGATCCCTACTGTTAAGTACTATTGTACTTGTACTTAATGATAATCTAATAACTTTGAGTTTGTTTCTTTTATCATTATACTTACCTTGAATTAACATTTTGAATAAGTGTTGATAAAGTACTTCAGAAAACTGAACTTATAGCTAAAATACAATCCTTATACATTTTAATTGTTATTGAAGATATTAGAAAACTTGTTACGATTCTTCCATGTCCAGGCTAGCTCACCTTTCTATAACATGCTTATATGATACTCTGTATTCAGGACGGTGTGTTTCTTATGATACTTGTGTATTTAGGATGATGTGTTTCTTATGATACTTCTGGATTCAGCACAATGTGTTTCTTATGACACTTATGCATTTAGAACGGCATGCATTTATGACACTTCTGTATTCAAGACGGTGTGTTTCTTATAAGACTTCTGTATTCAAAACTGCGTGCTTTTTACGATACTTCTGTATTTAGGATGATGTGTTTCTTATGATTCATCTGTACTCAGAACGGTATGTTTCGTATGATTCATTTTTTCGGTATTCGGGATATTAATTTCTGGTTTTAAAAAACTAGTACTCTTACTGAATAAAAGATAAACAGCAATGGGGTATCTTATTCTATCACATTTTAGGATCAAGTAATATAATTCTTTTTCATGTGTTATTTATTAGTTGGAGCTGATATGTTAATTATATAATCAATAGCTATTTTCAAAGAAGGCATATAAATTGTAGTGAATTACAATATATTTTGACAAATTTGATGTTTAAGTTTGTAATCACATTAACTTCAGTTCTCGTGTGGTTTATTAAAACAATTTGTATTTAGGTCCGAAGAGCTTGAGCCTGGAGAACAATACAGTTACCTCGTGTCTACAAAGAAGAACCCTGGCCCAATAGAGACAGTCAAGTTTAAATGGGTCAGCTATGCCCCTACTTTATTTGACCCCGAATTTTGGCAAGGTAAAACTTACGAAGGCGACAAAGAAGTGTATCTGAGCAGAGTGTCTGTCAACCCTATTAACAACGGAAATATAGAGTGAGTTAGGTGTTCATAAGTAGTGGTTTTACGACTAGTAACGACCCATGATTACATCATTATGTAATGATCTATAACGGCGTAATAAGGAAGAAATTACACTCTTGTAAACTTATGCATTGTTTCATTCACAAATAGCATTTTATACAAATAAACTCGTCTAAAGTACTATGAAGAACATCTGGCGCACGATTTAAGCATGTAATGTAAAGTTATCTTAACTAAGACAATCATTTTATAGTCATTCTTTCACTCTTTGTCATCGAGAACTTCTTTCATTATTAAATCGATAATGTTCTTGGTTCTATTTTCCGATTTATATCCACAACTTCTCGTGATTCATAGACAAGATATCATCACTGTTGTTTTATATTTGGGAATTATAGCCTTGGTGCTGTTATATAATGTTTATATGCATAGGGAGATAACATATTATTATTATTGAAAATTTACATTTAATTTTGGTACCTTGCTAAAGACAAAACCAACATGATTCAGAGAGTTTTCGGTTTTTTTTTCAACAGAGGACGCAAGGTGACGCCTTCCTCTTTCTGCTACAAGCCAGATGAGCCAATCAAGTCTAACAAACGTGTCGAGTTGACCCCTGGTGAATGTGAGGAAATTATACAGTGATTTTAAAATCAAGAACAGGAACAATGTTTAAAATGTATAATAAAAATTATATTTGGTGAAGCCAACATAAAGGAACTACATATTTCGGTACCGTCATCGGGAATAAAACATACGGGGCAAACAGGAATACAAGAAGAAAGGTCTCCTGATGGTTCAGAAATAAGTTTAAGGACTTAGAACACTAAAATCCTGGGTTCGATTGACACAACAGATAGGTTACTATGGCTTTACTCTAATGAAATAGACAAAGAAGGAGATTTAACTCATTGTAAACTTAAAGTTAGTAAATAATAAATGAATATTAAAGCACAAGATTTCAGTTGATTCAATTTAAGTTTCACGTTTATTTCAAACTATTGTTTCATATCGAATGACCTCTTTCAACAGTGTATTTAGTAAGCGGAAAAATTAACATCATTAAGACGGTATTTTACATTGCGTTTAGCTTGACCGCAATATAATATATTACAATCACGCCTAACTTCATGAATACCTTTTTATCCAAAATATCTTACCTTTAAAGAAGTTAGTATTAAGTTAATTTTATTAACTGGCTTGAAAATAACAATAAAATTATGTTTGCTCAACACATTAGCGATTTGACCAGTTACAGCTCATATATATAGTAATACTACTATATTGTAATTTGTTTCATCCTTCACGATTTTGGAAAGAAATAATAATTTCTGATGAATGACAATTAAAGTTTACAATGAGTTAAACTTTTTCTCTATACAAGTACCGGCTTGTCTGGTAAAGTTTATAATGAGTTAAACCTTTTCTGTATACAAGTACAGGCTTCTCTGGTAAAGTTTACAATGAGTTAAACCTTTTCTCTCTACAAGTACCGGCTTGTCTGGTAAAGTTTACAATGAGTTAAACCTTTTCTCTCTACAAGTACCGGCTTGTCT